CAAATTTAATTACCAGACGCAAGCGACAAACCCCGAAATTTAAGGACATTTATAAAAATTAATGCCCCTAACTGAAATGTTTTTTTCAATATTTTTTTGGATCCCATAACTTTCCCAACATGAATGCATTTGGTAAGAAAAAATTGAAAAAAGTGTCCCCTTTTGAGCTAAAGTTGGTTAAAGAAAGGTTTTTCAGGTAACTTGTGTGTTGTCTTTATTTACTTACCTGTCGACTTTTTCGCTAAGACAATCAGTTCTCTTCTTAGTTGCAAGTGAAAAATTAATACAGGAAATTTTAAAAAGTATTTAAATAATTCCAAAAGAAAGGGAATTACAGTTGAGAATTTCCCAAAAAATTACAAATGGGGAAATTTAAAAAAAAGAAATTTACAAATAAATTTAAAGAAAAGAAACTTACAAAAATTAAAAAAATTTAAAGAAAAGGAACTTAAAAATAAATAATAAAAAAAGGAACTTAAAATAAATAAAAGAAAAGGAACTTACAATAAATAAAAAAAAAAAAGGGAACTTACAAATAAATAATAAAAAAAGGGAAAAAAAAATTTAAAAAAATTTAAATAATCAAGAAAAGGAATTTACAATAAAAAATTTAAAAAAAGGAAATTAAAAATAAATAATCAAAAAAAGATTTACAAAAAAAAAATTAAAAAAAGGGAATTTACAAATAAAAATAAAAAAACTAAAATTTAAATACAAAAAAGGAAATTTAAAAAAAAATGAAAAGAAATAAAATTGGGTAATCTAAAAGGAAACTAAAAAAGGGTAATAAAGAAAAAAAAATCACATAAAGGGTAATAAAGAAACGGAAAAATTTTTGAGGCACCTAAAATTGGGGGGTTTAGCAAAAAAATGTTTTACAGTAATTAAACCAGGAGGCAGCTCGTGAAAAAAACCCCCACACACCGAGCTTTAAATCCTGCACAAAATTCAATTTTAAAACCGCAAAAAAATAGAGCCCCACTAACGGAGAATACACTAGACCTCTTTTTCACTAACAAAAGATGATTGATACAAAAAGTCATCATAACAAAACAAATACTCAATCACAACATAATCGAGGTTTAAAAATGAGCGTGGGCCCCCAACCCATATAAGAATTGTCCCCAGGGGGCCTTCCCCAAAATTCAACTTCAATAACAAGAACTAAATGGGACCCAAATAAACCAAACCTAACGATATAAGTGGGAAATAGCCCGACCCCCAAATTATGCCCAGAAACAATAACTCGGGGGCACTCGATGTATGCTCAAGGGTTTTTTCCTTTAAAAAAGGAGGAGTGATGTAAAAATGAAAGAACAGGCCTCCCTTTACGGGGACGGAAAAAATAACAAAGCGGCTAAAAGAGGCCAAAATGTCTGAAATGCCCTAGGGAGTTACTGGTCAAGAAAAGCAAACACGAAAATTGAAAAAAGGGAAACTATAGGAGTCAGGAAAACGCGGAAGAACTAAAAGCCATAATGAAAACGAAAGAACCCAAAATATTTTTTTTTCTTTTGCCAAACAAAGTGAGAAACAAATCCCCATTGGGCCCCCATAAACAAGATGGGTCCTCACAATGACAGCAAGGAAAGGTGAGTACTCAAGTCCCAGTATGACCAGTTTTTTTTCAAGCCGCTAACCAGATGAAGTCGAAGATCAAAATATTTTTTTTTGAGAGAGCCCCAGAATTTTGTTAACACAAGCCTATCTGTGTTATCCTGACGCAAATGACTTCGAACAGGGGATAAAAGACATGCCCCTGCCTCCCCAGGGACAATTTATGGAATCCGTGTTCACAAGAAAAGCAAGAAGCCCCTATCACGAGCCTTTTCCATCCTATGGCACGGGGTCGCCCAGCTACAAAAAAAAACAGACTGCCCCCCCCCACAAGGGTTCGTAAAAACAATACAAAGAACTACAGAAACCCATAGCACAACATCCCATACATAAAAATCTTTGAAAAAGGGGCCTATGAACAAGATCCCCCCATCTAGAACCCTCAATTACACAAACCCAGAAACGGGTTTTAGAGCAGGGCGCTCCTGTCTGCTAATACGGATCACTACGACAAGGTCCCAATGCACTAAAAAAACAAAAGAATGCGAGAAATATATACAGACTTTGCAAAAGCCTTCGACAAGTGTGACCACCGTATAGCGCACAAAATGCTGCAAAAGGGAAAAAAAAGGGAAAAAGTTGGAAATTGGACTTTAATTTCCTCAAAAAACAGAACAAAAGAGTAGTAGTCAACAGAGTAAAGTCTGAGGCGGTAGGTAAAAAGCTTTTTCCCCCAAAGGCACAGGTGAAGGCCTTTGGTTCAAACTAAGCCAATAACCTTTCCCCAAAGGGGGAAAAATTAGGGAATCAAAATTGCCGAAGAAATTTGGGCCCCATCTATCTTGCGGCACAGATGTTTAAATGATTCTCAACAGGTTTAAAAAGGGGCTTTCCCCTTCTTACGAATTTACAAACTTTTTCACTAAGGTTTTGGGGAGGTAATCATGTAAAAAATTAAAATTTGGGATTGGCTTCGGTAAGGGCCCTTTCGGTAATTTAACCAAGACATTGAGGAAACTTAGGGAAAAACGGAATAGGGGGAAAAATTTTTTTCCTTTGGTAAGGCAGGGTGAAAAATAGACCAAGAGTTTGCAAAATGGGGGAGAAATCAGAATGGGGGCACGTCAAAGCGGTGTTCCCCGGGGGCAGTTTTGGGGCCCGTTGTTTTCACAATTTCATAAACGACATAGAGAGGGATAAATAGCGACATAAGCAAATTTTTTGATGACACCAAAATGGGGCCTCCCAAATTTATTCTCATAGGCCATTAGAGCATCCAGGATGATTTGAATGACTGACCAAAGGCGGAGAAGGGGAGATGCAGTTTAATATTGACAAATGCAAAATTTTAAAGTTGGACAGTTTAAATAACCATGCCACAAATAAACTAAAAAATTAGATCTTAAACTACCGATTGCGAAAGGTTTGGATTTGGTTGCAGAATCAAAACCAAGACAAAGTGCATTTGTTCGCAATAAGCAAACAAAAATTCTTGGTTTCATATCTGAAGTATAAAAAATAAAGTCCTCGGTTTTCTTCAATCAAAAATTTGGTTAGGCCTCTTAGACTAGCGCTCAGTTCTGGTCACCGTATTACGAAGGGATATAAATCCCTTTTTGGAAAAAAACGTAAAAAAGGGGATGACAAAGATGATCCCTGTATCAAAAAATCCCCCTATGAAAAGATGGGGCCCCCAAAAAAGCACCTCCGAAAGGGTAGAATTGGGGGGGTTATGATCGAGGTGTATAAATGAAAAAGGAATAAATAAAGGGGTTAAAAGTTGCGAAAATTTCCCCCAAGCAGGATTCGCGAAATGGTTTAAGTTGGAAAAATTCGGATTCGGGAAAGGGATAAGGAAAGACGGGTTTGGAATAGAGTTGGGATGAGTGGAACAAGCTCCCGAGTACAGTTATTGAGGCTAAAACGTTTGTTTTTTAAAAAAGGTTAATAAAACAAGTGGGTGTGGGGGGTGTGATTGGACCTGACTAGCTTTGCTGGGGCGGTACATGCCCATCCTTAGTGGGATTCCAGATGGGTGGGCATTGGGATAATCCGGGGGTTTGGGGCATTGGATAATCCGGGGGTGGGTCATTGGTTTAACCGGGGGGGGAAAAACATGGCCCGTTGAGTGGGTCGTAGGGCCTGTTGCGTGTTCCTTCTTTCTTTGTTCTTATGTTTTTATATCTGCAGAAAGGTATCAGCCCAGCACCGTGTCTTCCTTTTCAATACACCCGAAACCAGACAGTGCTTTCATTGGACATGCAGGTCCAGGCGGACATCAACCAATCTTCAAAGGGGCAGAAAAAAAAAAAAAAGTTCAACGTGAAAATTTTAATTCCCCCCGAATTTTGGAAACAAAGGAAATTAAAACTTACAGAGTACAAAACAAATTTCGGCCACAAAATAGACGAAAAACCAAAGTCAAAGATCTGGGGGTGACATGTGGAGGGTCTCACCTCAAGGGGAAAAACATTTTTCATCGCACTGCTAGAAAAAGACAGGATGGGCAATAGAACCTTCAAAAAAAGGGATGCCAAGCCCATGATGACACTCTTAGGTCGCTTGTTCTATCTAGCTAGAATACTAACAGCTGCACACAAAAGCATCTTTCAAAGCGGGGAAATTGCTAACCTAGAAAATTACAGGAACCTTCACGGCTCGAATAACGGAGATAAAAACACCTCAATTACTGGGACGCTTAAGTTTTTGAACCTTAAATCCCTGAAACGCAGGCGGAAGATACATGATTAAACACCTGGAAAATCCTAAGGGACAGTACCGAACTTTCACACGAAATCACTCACAACGAAGCAAAAGACCTGCAGACGATGTAACATCCCCCCAATGAAAAACAGGGGTGTCACTAGACGTTAAGAGACAAAACAATAAGGTCAGGGGCCCCAGAATGTTCAAAAGCCCCCCAGTATACATAAGGGGG